CGGAGTTGATCGCCGAGAGCCCGCGGCTGCTTCGCCTGGACCTGCGGGAGAACGAGATCAAAACGGGCGGCCTCATGGCGTTGTCGCTGGCGCTGAAGGTCAACCACTCGCTGCTGCGTCTCGACTTGGACAGAGAGCCCAAAAAGGAGTCGGTGGGTAACGCGGCCCCTCCTCCCGCCCGGCTTTTACCTTTTCGGGGTGGGAGGGTCTCGGTGAGCCGCCCCCCCCGGTAGGAAAACGCCGTCCTGGAGGGTGACACCTCCGGGCTTCCGCTCGGCTCCGCCGCTTTCCCCTTTTCCAGCCGAAACGCGTTCCTGCCCAACCTGCCGCCACGGGTGAAGGTTTGGCCCGTGAAACCGCGGTTGCTTCCCAGCCGGCAGCACTGGGATGCCGAAAGCACCCCGGCACCGCAACTGGGATTTCTACGCTCGGGGTACCGCTCCGCTGAGCATCCCCCGGGATGGGAATCCCACAATCCCGGCAGCAATCCCCTCGGGGAACTCGCTTCTCAGATTTGATTGGGTTTTTTTGGGGGGGAAAACATCAGTCCCGTCTTATAGGGACGGAGATAAAAACCACCGCGGTACGGTGTGCCCGGCTTGGAAAATAAAGATGGAGCGGATTGTTCTCATCTTGCCGATTCCTGACCCGACGGTTTCTCTTCCCCGGCAGGTAAAAAGTTTTATCGAAACCCAGAAGGCTCTCCTGGCCGAGATCCAGAACGGCTGCAAGCGCAACTTCATCCTGGCCAAGGAGAAGGAGGAGAAGGAGCAGAAGCTGCAGCAGTCGGCTTCGATGCCGGAGATCACCGTGACGGAGGCTCTGGAGGAGGGTCCGGCAGAGGACGGTCAAGACGGCAGCGCCGCCTCCGCGGCGGAAGAAGGGGAAGAAGCCGGCGAGACCCCGACGGCCTCGGAGAACGGGAACGCGGAGCCGGTGGAGGACGACGATGACGACAGAGGTGATGTGACGGACTCCGATTCGGACACGGACGAGGAGGCGGACGTTGGGATAGAGACGAAGGACTTGAGCGAAGAGCCGAAAGGCCCCATCTCCGCCGACGGCACAACCGCGCCCCAACCGCTGCTGTCCCCGGAGAAGCCGAGGGACCGACCGCCCCCCTTGCGCATCGCCGAGGAATCGCAGCACGATGCCGGCGCGGGGACTCCTTCCGCCTCTCCGTCCTCCGCACCCTCCCCGGGAAACGAGAGAAGGATTTCGGTTTCCAGCCCCGGGCGCGGCCATAAAATCTTCG